ACTGGGAAACGGTTACTACTAAAAGTCAGGTTGAGCGTTAACTGCCTCCACTGTCTCCCTACTCCCACCTCTGGCCTAACCACATGGCTCCCACGGCTTCTCTGCTTAGGGCTAGTCCACTTCCATTCTGGTTAAACCCAAACACTTAAGCATTTACAAAGGTGTGCTGGCCTTTGAGTTAGAGGGTCCTCTCTTCCTGTCACCCTGCTTTCCAATATTAAGGGCCAAAGTGTTCCACTCTAAAGAAGTAAATCGAATGGAGGAATATCAGCAATCTTTTTGGAGCCAGCTTTCACATATTTCAAAGCACTGCTGCCGTGGAACCCTCCTTTAACTCAGAGAAATAATTCTTGAGTATAAAGAACCCACCAGAAGATCTTTGTGTCTCAATCCCAAACACCACATATCACTATAATTCAAAAGGAAAAAAAATCCAATAGGTCAACAGCTTGAAAACAATCCAATCCTGAAAAGGACAAGTGGATAAGTCATGGGTGCTCTAGACCACTGCTGTCCGATAGAACTTTCTTTGATGGAAATGGGTCTCTATCAGTCCTGTTCAATATGGTAACTACTAGCAACATGTGGCTATTGAGCGGTTAAGCTGTGGCTGGTGCAACTGAGAAACTGGATTTTTAACTTTAGTCCATTTTAGTTTTAAATTTAATAGCTCAGGAGATGACTATATTTGCCAGCACAGCTCGAGACCACCCCTCCTTGAGCCCTGAGCTATTGGCCCAGCATAGGGAACACACAATAAGACCCAGTGTCTCCCCACTAACACACAGTTTAACGCTACAAGACAGTGCGAGCTGAAGGAATTAAGAAATAGAATCTTAGTATCCAACACTAGGATTCCATGAAAGTAGGACTGCATTTTTGTGGATTTCAACTTTAAAAACCATTAAGTCCTTGATAGGCAGAGAGGGGTGACTACAGCCAAATAAAGAGGTTCGTGTTGTTGAGAAAGACGGGAACCGATGGCCTACCTTCAGAGTGCCGAGGGTCTACATGGTGTTCAGGAGAGCGGCGTGGGCTGCTCGAGGTGGGCCGGAGTGAGTGAGGTCTTACGCGACCTCTCACAGCGAACACCCAGGGCTAGGCAATTTTATCCCAACTCTCATCCTCACGAACAATTCAGTGTAAATGAACAGGGACCAGAAAAAGATCTTATCCTACAGGATTACCTGTTGCCCAGAACTCACCGCAATCAGAACAACAAGATACTGTTTCTCTGAGTACCTGGAATGGTTTTTATTAAACAGAACCTCTCTTTGTAATGGGATTTTACTTGGTTAAACCTTGGAGAACAGAAATTTGGAAAAAATAGGCCTTCTTTTTCTAAAGAAAATATAAACACCCCAATGCAAAAATCTGGGGGGAAATTGAAAACGATTGGAAAAGTTACACCTGAATGAGACCACAGCAGTCTCATCTCCTTGGAGGCAAGACCCTTAGCGGATGCCTGAAGCTGCAGATAGTACCTAACCTTATACATAATTACTATGCTTTTACCTATATAAACCTATGATAAAATTTAATTCATAAATGGGGCACAATAAGAGATTACCAACAATAATAAAATAGAACAATTATAACAATAGACTGCAATAAAAGTTATGTAAGTGTGCGGTCGCTCAGTCTCTCAGCAATTAGCACAAACTTCTTTTACCTTCCCCATAATTTCCCGGGTAGAAGTTTCCTTCTTACCATATGTCTCAGAAACCTCAGCATGTGATTTTTCTCTTTCCTTATTAGATCGAGAACTTTCACCTTTTCACTTAAAAGAAGCACTTTACAGCTTCACTTTGGCATATCCGAATCACCAGCATCACTACTCTTGGGCTTTGGGGACATAATTATTTTTAAATCTTAACCCAAGGACATGCTCAGAGAGAAGGGAGAGAGAGAAACTTCTATTGGTTGCCTTCCATACACTCCCTTTCGGTGCATAGGACAACACTCAACCAACTGAGCCACTCCGTCTGGGCCTTTGGGGACATTATTAAGAAAAATAGGGGTTACTTGAACACAAGCACAGTGACACCACAACAGTCAATCTGATTTCTAAGGTGGCTACTGGCCTGAAGACACTGGACAAAGGCACGGTTCCTATCCAGCCAGGATAGTTCAGAAAAATTGTTTTATGGATGCACATGTTTGTATATACATAACATATATTGTATATTATGTTATGTTGTATAATACATAACAAACTATTCTGGCCCAACCAGGCGGGGCTCAGCGGTTGAGCATGGACCTAGGATCCAGGAGCTCGCAGTTCGATTCCCTGTCAGGGCACATGCCCTGTTGCAGGCTGGATTCCCAGGTGGGGGCGTGCAGGAGGCAGGCGATCAATGACAACTCTCTCATCATTGATGTTTCTCTCTCTCTCCCTCTCCCTTCCTCTCTCTGAAATCAATAAAGATATATTTAAAAACAAACAAAAAACTATTCTGTAGTATACATATTTTATAATTTATAAAATCTATTTTTTATATAAAGAGAGCCCATAAAGCAAACGGGCAAAATGTTAACAATAGGTCAATTCTGGGCACAGGTATACAGGTATTCCTTGTACTATTCTTGCAATTTTTCCATAAGTTTGAAATTATGTCCAAATAAAAAGATTTATTAAAAAGGAGGGAGGATTGAAGCCTTCCTTCCCCAGCTGGGCTGCCAGCACGGGGTAGTCTTCTTCAAGTCTGTGCAGGCTCTGTCCTCAGGAGGATGCTCATCTCACTCTGATTTTCACTTCGTTTGATCATTTACACAAATTAGGAAAGGAAAGCAAAATGAGTTAATTTTTTCACTTTCTCTAAATTTCTGATTATAAAGTTAGCATGTCCTATGTTTAGAAAATTTTAGAAAATCTGGGGAAAGGAAAGAAAACTAAGAAAGAAGGAAAAAAATCCACACATGAATCCCACCAAACTTGAAGAAACATCACTGTCATTTTGGCCCGTTTTCTTTCAGTCTTTATTTCAAAGTTTTAAGGGAACTGGGATCATATTATATGAATTGCGTGGTCTGAGTTGTTTTTTCTTTTCTTTAACCTAGTGTAAACACCTTGCTATGTCATCAGTCAAAAAAATTCTTAAAATCTGCAAGGTCAACATAATAGTCCATACTATAGATAGGCCACGATATACTCAGTCATNCTTTCTCACATTGATGTTTTTCTCTCTCTCTCTCCCTTCCATTCTCTCTGAAATCAATAAAGATATATTTAAAAACAAACAAAAAACTATTCTGTAGTATACATATTTTATAATTTATAAAATCTATTTTTTATATAAAGAGAGCCCATAAAGCAAACGGGCAAAATGTTAACAATAGGTCAATTCTGGGCACAGGTATACAGGTATTCCTTGTACTATTCTTGCAATTTTTCCATAAGTTTGAAATTATGTCCAAATAAAAAGATTTATTAAAAAGGAGGGAGGATTGAAGCCTTCCTTCCCCAGCTGGGCTGCCAGCACGGGGTAGTCTTCTTCAAGTCTGTGCAGGCTCTGTCCTCAGGAGGATGCTCATCTCACTCTGATTTTCACTTCGTTTGATCATTTACACAAATTAGGAAAGGAAAGCAAAATGAGTTAATTTTTTCACTTTCTCTAAATTTCTGATTATAAAGTTAGCATGTCCTATGTTTAGAAAATTTTAGAAAATCTGGGGAAAGGAAAGAAAACTAAGAAAGAAGGAAAAAAATCCACACATGAATCCCACCAAACTTGAAGAAACATCACTGTCATTTTGGCCCGTTTTCTTTCAGTCTTTATTTCAAAGTTTTAAGGGAACTGGGATCATATTATATGAATTGCGTGGTCTGAGTTGTTTTTTCTTTTCTTTAACCTAGTGTAAACACCTTGCTATGTCATCAGTCAAAAAAATTCTTAAAATCTGCAAGGTCAACATAATAGTCCATACTATAGATAGGCCACGATATACTCAGTCATTTCCTTAAAACTGTCCTTTTGTTTCCAATTTCAACTTATTGTACATAACAACGGTTAAAGTTTAAGACCTTTGTGCTTAAATCTTTTTTTTTTAATATTTCTGGTTCATAACAGATTCACAAAAATTGAATATGCTGGGCCAAAAGGTATAAACATAGTTTTAAGACTCAATACAACTTTTTTAGAAAGTTAGGCTAGCATCTTTACCTTTAAGGGGCAAGAGGGCACCTGACTAGAATGATCAAAATTCACCCTGAAATCTCATTTTAGGATTTATAGAAAAGGAAGTTACAGCCTCAGCCTGAAAACTGCCATCTCACCTCAAACAGCTCTTGGGACAACTTCTGTAAGCTATTTTTGGCCTTCAAAAAAGGAAAAACAAATATTGCTGCCTGTGTCAACACACACTGACTACTGTGCGGACGAGGGGAGGCCCAGCCTCAAATGATCACCAACGTATGAAGCTTTGAGTGTCAGTAATCTCACAGACCTTCCTATCCTGACAGAAATGGGATCCTAAAAATATTAAGTGGGACTACAACACGGGCAAAAAGTATAGGAATCTGAAAGCAAGGTTCAGGTTCAAAAAGGCAAGCTTAAGACAAGTTGTTTTTTATTTTCTTAGCAGCCCAGTAGTGAAAAAGAAGCCAGGGCTCCACCAGTCAGGAGATGTGGCATCAGTCCCATCCATCCTGGACAAACCACCAGCCTGGGTCAAGGATGCAGTCAAACCTCTCTGAACTCAATGTCCTCCAGTGTTCAATGACAAGGCTTCTGAACAGAGTCCCTAAAGGTCCCTCTCAGGTCTCTCATTTTGCAAAATGCTCCTTTAAATGCACGAGGGGAGGAAAGGGCAGAGTGGTTACTCTCTCTGAACGCATTGCGTCAAATGCTGACCACCTCATTTCTCAGAACACAACTAGATCAAATAACACTAGGTGTACAAAAGAGACTCCAGAAACTTTGCATTTCCCACTCCTTCAGACCAGGGACTAGGGAAGGAGAGGCAGGGGATCTGTAAAGCAAGGAGAAAAGAAAGCTCACCGTGGCCATTGCAGTAGTAGATCCACTTCTCCCGGTTCTGGGTTGGGGTGACAGACTTCTTCAGCCCCGCCTTTTCCACAATGGCGCTGGGATCCTGCCGGGGCCCCTTTTTTAGAGTCCTTGAGCTTTTCCGGATACTGCACACCACTATCACCACAAGCACCAGCAGCAGGAAAAGCACAATCATCCAGGGCAGATGCTCATTGATGTCAAAATGCTTGTGCGTGTTCTGCCTGGGATGGCCCCTCTTGATGCCTTTGATGGGTGTGCTGGACTTCTCGCCCCCCGTGGCCTCCATGGGTGGCAGCAGCTTCAGGATGTGTCTGTGGTGGGAGCCTTGCTGGTGGTCGACTACCTGGAGGTTTGGAAGGGTCTTGTTCACACCTCCTTCCCACCTTGCTGAGCTTGCGTTGTCAGGGACTGTCCCTTCGAGGGTGCCACTCAGTACTTTTGGTCTAACAGAGGCAGAAGAGTTGGATTCTGTTGAGTTCATGCCTAGAAAAAAAGAGTAAGGAGGGGGGAAGAGCTTTTCTATATTTGGGGATCTATATATTCCTTCCTCTTCCTGCTCATCTCCAAACGAGGCCAGATAATTCAAGAAGAGATGACCTTTGGAGCTTAAGAATAAATTATACTGCACATTTTCATAAAGATCTTAAAAGCATTTTTATGTGGATGGTTAAAAACTAAGCTGAACAGCTAAACTCATTCACTTCCTTGTGCCAAAACCAAGGGCCTTCTCAGGGATCCAACATCTGAACCTCACAGCAGCTACTCCAGCGCCTCGCACCCTGAGCAGGCACCTATATATTCAAAGCTTTAGTCGACTCTTAATTGTTCTGATTATTTCAGAGAACTAGTTCAAAGTTAACTCCTTTGTCCTTTAATTCCTTTATACCTCCTCTCCTGCTCTTGACTATTTCATAACACAATGGGGTACAATTGAAAATGTGACAAAGATAAAAAGAAAAGAGCCCTACCTCGAATCCAAGGCTGGCCAGTGAAAGAAATGTCTGGTGAGACAGGCCAGTGAATAAATAAGGCAGGACTTCCTAGTATGTTCTATTAAGAGATTAAATAAGACTTGGGCTGGCGGTTTAGTGGACTTCTTTCAGAGAAGCTTCCACAAGTTGTCTTCATTAACGAGTTGTGAGAGCCAGAGATTTTGACTCCCAAGAAATAAGACCTGTCCGGTACCGGCCCATGAGAAAACCTGGTCAGGTCATTTCAGATCTCTGAGCCAGTTTTTTCCTTTTAAAATGGTGTTTGTAACAAGGCCCTCCTTACAGGGCTCTTGTCAAGGTCAAGTACAATCACAAGTGAGATGATGCTAGAAAGCACAACTCAAGTTGGCTATCACTTCATGAAAATTAAATTCAATCAAAAAGGATTTGAAAATAAAGACTAAATTTTACATTAGGCCTGAGATTCTAAATGAATTCTGAGGAAAACTGAGATACTCGATGAAGGGCATCAAGTTGGAATAATCTCAAAAAAATAAACACTATTTTCCACATGTGAATGCTAGTTACCTTCAGTGTGATACAAATTTGCTTGTTTGCTGAAACTTCTAACTTATTTTCCCCTTCTTTGCCCCACCTTAGATCCAATATTCATCCTGCCCCTCCGGATGCCGTTGCATTTCCTCCCCTTCTCCCTCCGTCTGACCTTCTGGCTGTCTCTACCCAGGAGTGATTCCATGTTGGAAAGCTTTTAATCGGGGAGAGACCTTCAACATCTAAATCACTCATTATTTGACAAGTTTGAAACCAAGGCCAGAAGTTCAGTGACTTACATAAGGTCACTCACTGTCCCTGTTTTACTGGATTCTTATTTTCTATTTTGATGTGACCTAGTTTATAGATATCTGATCCCCCTAACTTAAAACTTCTGAGTCTAAATGTTTCTAAAAGGTCCAAAGAAGCTAAATTCAATTAGCCACAAAGTGCAAGTCCCTTCATCCAGGGGGGACTTTGGGAATCTATAAAACGGAGAAAACATCCATGGTACAAGTACAAGCCCATTGCCAGTAGCTTCACTGGACTCAAAGCCCTCCTCAAATAAATAAATAACTCATGAGGTTAAGTTACCTTTGGGAACATAAGTGGAGGAAGGGACTTCATGTGATTCCATGTGCTCAGGGCGTGAAAAGATGGTTGTGCCAGGGGAGGGTGGGGTTGTACTGGAGAAGGTCGGGGCTGTGCCACAGACGTTGTCTGCCTCCTTGGAGCCTGGCTTGATCACCACCAGGTTCTGACTCAGACAGTCTGTGTATGCTTTGCATTTCATCACACTAGAAGGCACATCAGAGAAGGTTCCCCGAGCACACTGCTTACACCGCACGTCCTCGGTCTCCGACCCTTTCTTCCGCACACCCCAGCCCACAGGACACACCGTGTGGGGGGCGCAGGTACCATTAAACTGGAACATGCCAGGTGGGCAAGTGCATTCCCGGTCAGTCAAGGCAGCACACGGTAATTTCTCAACCATCGGCCACGGGCATGGCTGACTACAGTCATGGCATTTCTCTATGCCGTTCTCATGCCTCGTAAAGGTCCCCGCTGGGCAGCTGCTGCACACACGCAGGCTCGTGTTGGTACAGTGCTCAGATACATAGGTTCCCGCCGGACACTTGTCACAGGTTAGCACCTGGCCAGTGACACGGTCAACATGGTGATAGGTGCCGATGAGACTGGGGGCCTTCTGTTCTGGCTGAGCAGAGGTGGTGCTAAAGAATCCAAGCTGCAAGAAACAAAAGGGGGAGGGGGAGGAACAAAACCAAGGAGGTGTTATCTAGGAACAGAGAGAAAAGATGAAACAATCCCAGCGCCACCGCTATCATGCCTGGTAAATATCTGACAGGTACCATGTCCTCTTAACACAAGGCTGCTGCACAGCAGAGAAACAAAGGCTCCGATTCCTCCTGGCGCCTGACCTACGCCTCAGTTTCCTTTTCTTCCATGTGCAAAGTGAGGCTGACAATACCTCTCAATTATAAAAACTCAGCTGAGAATATGAACACGAAAACACTCTGGGGCCCGTATTAAAACTGCTGGATATCTGGCCGGTGTGGCTCAGTGGTTAGGCACCGACCCATGAACCTGGAGGTCACCAATTCGCTTCCCAGGCAGGGCACATGCCCGGACTGTGGGCTTGAGCCCCAGCAGTGGTGTGCAGAAGGCAGCCAATCGATGTTTTTCTATCTCTCTAGCCCTCTCAAAAAATTTAAAAAAAAAAAAAAAATTAAAAAAAAAAAAAAAATGTTGTATTGCTGGCCAGGGTGGTTCAGTTCGTTAGAGTATCATCCCGCACACCGAAAGGTTGAGGGTTCAATTCCTGGTCAGGGCACATTCCCAGGTTTGAGGTTTGAGCCCTGGTCGGGGTGTGTATAACAGGCAACCCATTGATGTTTCTCTCTCTCCCTTTCTCTCGAAAATCAATAAAAGCATATGCTACTGTATGGAAGTCAAACATCCGAATGTAAGAAAAAAATAACTTGCTGAATAGTTCGTCTTCCTTTCCATATCTTGATACCAGGACAAAACAACTGAGAAGTAGGATGGCACTGATTCAAGCTGCTACTTTCACAGCACCCGATTACCCGGTTGGAGTTAACCTATAGACATGGCATGATTTTGTTCAAATATTTCACCTATGCAAAGCTATATTTTTTGATTGTTTGGTTTGAGGTTTGTTTGTTTTGCAAAACAGAGTTAGGCCCCTTGATGCTTTTAGATGCATAGCTTCTGAAGGCCATGGCTAATAGTGTGGACCTGCAGCCACCTGGGAGCCCAAGCACAAAGCTGGGCTCAGCAAGGACTCAATAGACACATAAATTAAATTCATAGAACAGAAACTTCACCCAGCTAGACAGAATTTTATAATGGCGCCCAGAATGAAAACTTGGGGGAAAGGAAGTTATAGTTGTGGCGCTAAATCCTGAGGTCCTTCTGCAGTGGTGGGGGGAGTGAATGTTTAAATTTGCCTCTGTACCAGTAACTGAGAGAATAAAGTAAGGTCTTCAAAGTGATCAGAGTTCCTGTCTCCTTAGCACCTTGAGATTAACCCAAGATGCAATTCTCCTCTACCTCAAATTTAATGATTTGAACCAAAAATATCACTCTTGAGGTCCTTTACCCTGTCCCAGATGTCTCCAGTTAAATGGCAATATTGGAAACGAATTTCCAATTTATGAGAATATATTCGTATTTTCTTTAATCTAAGACCAAAAAAGGACAGTAGTTGATTTTCTTGGTAAGAGACTTAACTTCATCTTGGACTCTGAAGGAAAACAATCTGCTTGATAGTAAGTACTGCAGTAGCATCCCTTTTCACTTCTGACTCTTTTTTCCCTCCTTGTCTTTGCAAAATCAGCCCAGCCACCCTCTTCTAAGCACAGCAGATGCATCAGACTGAGGAAAGAAAACTCATTACCATCTTGTGGAGAGTCCAAGTGCCTTTTGGCAAGTACATGAAGACAGATCTTGTCCCAGTCTCCCCAACAATAAGGACCCAACCCAAGAGGTTGCAAAAGAGGCTCTGCTCTGTACTTCAAGTTCCTTCATATCTAGTTTCTAACTGCAAAAGCAGTTTTAGGGAACTGCAGTGTTCTGGAAGTTTGAAAGATGTATAAATAACCCAAATGGCAGGTTATTACACTTGTGCAAATTAAATGAAATCAGAGAACAGAACAGGCAATCTAGCCTGACAGTGGTCAGGGATGAACATCACTGATGTGTGTGCTATGGGATTTGAGTCTGGCACTTACCCGTGCAGCGAGGCTATGCAGTCAGCCAGAAACACACCCAGGGGATCATAAGTTCACTGTGTGTGCGTGTGTGTGTGTGTGTGTGTGTGTGTCCCTGGGCATGGCCATGGGCATGGGGATCAGCTTCCTATAGCTTCATATATCTCCCCAGAGGACACACTTCTAAACCTAAAGTGAGAGATGCTACTACTAGGTTCTGCATTAGTCCCTTGATTACTGAATTGCTGGAGGTCCACCAAGCAGGATACAAAAGCCATCTCCAAACCTCACTGCACCCACACACTTCCCTACTCATTGAGTGGATTTTCCAGCTCTGTGTTCATTTAGAATAACTGATCAAGTTTCTAATTAAAGCAAATCTCAGGGGTCTTTAAACTGCACCCTACTAGGTAACCCACTTAAGACAATATGGCTCTAAAAAGGGACCATTAAACTACCTCGTGCTACAGAGGTAATTCCAGCTCCTACAAATAGTGCTAACACACAATATTCCTTGGCAGCCTCACCTGGGCTGAACACTAGACATGAGATTTGTGCACAAACCAGGTAATATACAAGCACTGGACAAATATTTATTGAAGACCTACTATGTGTGTACTAGAACCTTGAGAACTCTATTTCAGCCTTTACAGTGTTTACCTTCTAAAATATAAAGGAAGACAAATGGAAACAACTAATTACATCAGTAATTACTTAATTAGAGTTGAGATTACTCCTAAGGAGAAATAAAGTCCCGTGAGAAGGGGTTCAACAGGCACTTCCTAGCTCAGAGATATTAGAGAAATGTTTTGGAGCATTTACTACTGAAGGCTAGGGAAGCAGAACTTAAGTCTGGGCAGGGGAAGTGGCAGGGGATTAGGCAGAGGGAGCCCCGGAGCAAAAGTCTGAAGCGGAGGAAGATCAGCTCAGGAACTATTAAAAAATCCTGTGTGGCTCTACCTCCAGGTGCAACACAGTGGCCACATTTGAACCTGGAGAGGCTCCACAATTTGATCCTAATCCAAAGTCACTGTCTGTTTATATTGGAGGTTGGGGAGAGAGGCATATAATCACATTTGTCAATAAAAAAATGATCTGGCTGCAGAGTGGACAATGAAAGCAATGTGGGAGGAGGGCAGATGAGAAAAACCACTTAGAAGGCGAAAGCCAAGGGGAAGGTGAGCATGACCTGGGCTAGGGTGGAGGTCATGGAAGAAGAACAAGGCGACAGATAGGAGAGGTCAGATCAGCTGGATTTGGGGAATAATTACCTATGGAAGGAGGAAAGGGAGAAAAATCGATGGTTTTCAAATTGGACTCGAGTGCACAGTACCGAACACATTTCTCAGGGCTGCTCGTGGGCCCGGCGGGTGCACGTCAGGGCAGGGACAGGAGGTTCCGAGCTCCCCGTCTCTGCCTCAAACACTGCAGCTCAGATTCACCGATTCGCTAGGCACCTTCCTTCCACGGAAGAATTCATTTGAAGGAAGGTTACTCCCCCTGCACTAGAGGAACCTCCAAGAGCTCTTCCAGTCCCAAAGTTAATGATTAACCCATCTGAGCTACAAAGCCGGAGGGCTGTTCCCTGTGCTGCTCTTCCTCCCGAAGCCCTGCTGAGAGGAAGAGGCCGCGATGTCCCTTTCCCTGCACAGACACACAGGTGCCACCGGAGAAAAGTTCTTTTCCTAAGGCCTTTTAGTCAGCTGAAGACTTGTGATCCAAAGCTAGAGCTTTTTCCACTAGCCTGGTGGCAGCCCTCTGGTTTCTAAGAAAATTAAAATAATATAAAAATCATTCCCAAAGACAATTCAAAGGGTGAAGTAATGGGTAGCGGGGAAGAGGGGGATCCAGGTCCCTATAAAACGTAAAAAACAATTTAGGTGATACCTAAAAGTTACTGTTGGGGAAAACACCTGAATCACAAGACACAGTCACTGAAAAGTGAACACTCAAGGCTGGGGTTCTACCTGGTCAAGAGCCTTAATTCTCTCACCTGTACAGAGGTGGCGAGACTAAATCAGGTTCACCAAAACCTCAAGCCTCAAGTGAGCATCAAAATTACCTGGGAAGCATTTTTAAAAATTTATTTATTGGTTTTTGTATTGATTTTTCGAGAGAGAGGAAGGAAGGGAGAGGGAGAGAAACATCGACTGGCTGCCTCCTGCAAGCCCCCTACGGAGGATTGAGCCTGAAACAGGGCGTGTGCCCTGACCAGGCATCAAACCAGCAACCTTTCAGTGCAGGGGAAGATGCCCAACCAACTGAGCCACACCAGCCAGGGCCTGGGAAGCTTTTTAAAAAATTCACAGCCTCAGTCCCATTACTTGAGATCATGTGGGTCTGCCATGGGGCCAGGAATTTGTTTGGTTTTGTTTTTAAGCTTTCCAAGTGATTCTGATGTCCAACCAACTTTTAGTTGCCCTGATGCCCTGAACTGGAAGGCCTGACCCCTCTGGTTTGAATCTTCTCTGATTCTGAGAAACACTTTGGAAACAGCCCAGTTCCACCGTCAGAGCCGCTCCCTCCTCCTCTTTCCCAACTTGCATCCTTTTATTGTTTAAATATTGTTCTTGCTTCATTATTATTTTCATAGTAAGTACTCTAGTAATAATTCTAACAACTTCAAAATAGACTAAAATGTTTAGGTATCTGCTCAGCTCCACCCATCCCTAGAGATACTCGCTATTAATTTTGGTGCACATCTTTCCAGACCCTTCCTGAGCATTTACACCTAATACATGCATGCATACTTTAAGTGAGCTGCTCCAGCTTCATCTTAAGGAGACGGGCCACACATACTGTTCTGTGATTTGATTTTGGTCTTATAATGCATCACTGAAATCTCTCCATGTCAGAACACAGACTACTTCATTCTTTAGAAGAGTCAAGTTCTCTTCAACTGTGTGGATCTGTCTTATTTTAGAGACACTTCTTACTGAGGACATGTAGACTGCTTCCTGGTCCCTGTCAGTGTATGCATGCATTTTTTTTTTTAATTCTCACCCGAGGATATTTTTTCCATTGCTTTTCAAAGAGAGTGGAAAAG